AAGATGATTGTACTTTGACCTTGTTTATTTGGTTATTTATTTCTTGTTTCTTTCTCATGTTTGGTTCTGTTTATCTTTGCGTTATTTTAGTATGGTGATTCTGTTACCTGTTTATACTTTGTTTTTGTTTAAATCACTTTGGAAAAGTGTTTAGGCCTTTAGTTCTTTACTGAAAACACATTGTTATTTCTTATGTTCCACTAATAGGTGATATATTCCACGTTTTAGTTGGCTTCAGAGTGTTTTGGGAAACTAATATTTGAAACATTTAAATGACCTTTTTCTTTATTCAAATAGTGGGATATTTTCATTCATGATGAATTTTTACTGGCGATTACTGGTTCAGAGGCTGTTACCAACCTTTCTCTGCTTTTCTTTGACGCAATGTGCCAGAGCGATTATTCTTACATTGTTAAATTTATTAAAAGCGCTTTGTAAATTCCGTCGTTGATGTTTCTTTACTACCTTTTCGCTGCCTCCCTTTGGCTGTTTGATTTGATGTTTTCTTTATTTGATTTGTTTATTTATTAACGATCGTGCGTTTGCCACGTTTGTGATATTTTCGAAAATGGATATATCATTTTTAACACCTGACATTTGCGGTTGAAAAGAAACTATATTCTTGTTTCACTGTTTTGTTTATTTTACTCTCATATTTAGTGCCTTGATAAAGCTATCATAAAAGTATTTGGCGCTGATGTTATTTTACGATCAAGCTTTGTGCAATCAAAAACAAATTCGATGTTACCCAAATAGTTTTGAACGGTTTGTTAAACTCTGATTTGGCGATCGTGCGCTCGTGTCCCATTAACGCCACTTTTCACCCGACATTACATTATCATTGATGGTGCAAATTTGGGAAATTTATTACCTGCTTTGGATGTTCCACGCCTTCCAGTCTTCCAGCCTGACTGGTGAACCAATATTCAAGCCTGTTTGCTATCAGAGCGAAGCTCATTGGCGTTGTTCTTCTCCTTTGACGCAGGAAAAATTCAAGACTGTCTTTTTTTACAGTCTCTGTTAAACTCGTTTGACGTTACTGTTCTTATTAATTTGTTCTCTGTTGCTGAAATTTGAAATGTTTTCTTTTTGGAAGCTTTTGCTGTGGAAAAATACATTTGATCTTCATCGTTGCTCTGTTCATCATTGTTTATATTGTTCTCAGCTGTCATCAAGTGACCGTGCGTCTCTTCATTCGCAATCTTTTTTGTTTTTGTTTGCGTGCGCTTCTATTCACATTGTTTCTTCATTTCTGTTGGATCTTTTCGTTGATTGTTTGGTTGTTCCGATATTTCTTCTTTGCATTTTTGAAAATCGATCCAGGCTGAGGAGTGGTATTGATCACACGTTATTTGTTTGAAAATCCTAGATTGTAGCACAATGGTATCAAGTACAAGTACTAATACTACCACCAAAATGATTCCTAGAAAACATTAAAATATTTTTTTGCCTATAATTTACCAATTCCTCCGTGTTTTTACTATGAAGTAAAATATATGTAACAAAATTTGCCACTTTAATAATCATCCATCCATCCATCCATCCATCCATCCATCCATCCATCCATCCATCCATCCAATCTATTTGTACCTGTCTATATTTGTTCTATCTATATCTATCTCTGTCTGTTTGGGTAGACCTACCTGTGTTTATCTATAGATAGATGGATTAAATACTTTCTGAATTCTTGATATTTACAATTTGATTCCACAACTACAGTTAAGCTTTTACTCAACCTCCTTGCTATTGTATGGGTATTTCTTTTTTTCCCACACCAAGAAAAGAAATCTGGTTCTAAGGGACACAGAGGAAGATGAAATTACCAAATCCCATAATTACTTATTTGAAAAAATCCTAGATTGTAGCACAATGGTATCAGAATACAAGTACTAATACTACCACCAAAATGATTCCTGAAAACATTAAAAATATTTTTTTTGCCTATAATTTACCAATTCCCTCCCGTGTTTTTTACTATGGTAAAATATATGTAACAAAATTTGCCACTTTAATAATTTTAAAGTGGACAGTTGAGTGGCATTAAGTACATTCATAGTGTTAAGTAACCATCACCACCATCTGTTTCCAAAACATTTTCATTACCCCCAACAGAAACTCTGTACCCATTAAGCAATAACTCCTGGTTCTTCTCTGCTCCCAGCCTCTAATAAGCTCTAATCTACTTTTGTCTCTATGAATTTGCCTATTCTATGTATTTCATATAAGTATCAACCACCCCGTTTAGAAAATAGTGTTGTACTATATTTATATTGTCAAAACTTATAGCCATCACATACCGTGCTTTCTCCCTCTTTGCTCTCATTTAGTCTTAATTCTCTGGCTAACTACATAGTTGTTGCTTACTACCAGTCGTTACATTGATGTCCCTTGAGTCACTTTGGTTGTATGAAGCTTGTTTTCTAGTAGATTCCTTAGGAAGGGATATAGGATCAGTATCCTCTGAATTCTTGCATGTTATAATAATGTGTGCCCTTTATACTTGAAAGTCATTTCTGCTAAATATAAAATTCATGACCCATGCCTTTTTCCTTGAATATATTAAAAATGTTACTCCATTGTCTTTTGGCATAAAACATTGTCAAAATCTGATGATAATTTAATTTTCTTTCCCTTATAAGTAATGTGCTTTTTTTTTCTCATTGGAATTTTTTTTCTTTTTCTTTAAAGCCCAGTAATTTTACTAGACTATGTCCTGGTATTAGTTCCGGGCTGATATTTCGGGTATAATGTGTGCCCTTTCAATGTATAGTGTTTGTTTGTTTTGTTTTGTTTTAATTTCAGGAAAGGTTTTTTGAAGTATAGCCTCTGTTTTCTGTTCCTTTGCTTTGGTTTTCATCTTCAGGAAGATCTCTCTTGCTTATTTTCAATATTCGTCACTTTCTTTTTCTTAGTTATTTTTTTGAAAAAATATATTTTGAGGTAATTGTAGATTCACATGAAGTTGTAAGAAATAATACAGAGAAATTCCATATACCAGTCACCCAGTTTTCCTCAATGGTGATATCTTGCATAATTATAGCAGAACATTAAAACAAGGAAATTGACCAGGAAATTCACCAGCCTTATTGGATTTCACCAGTTTTGCATGTACTCTTTTGTCTTTAGTTCTGTTTACCTCTGTGCAATTTTATCACACGTGCAGATTCATCTTAGTGCCACTACAGTCAAGATATAGAGCAGTTTCATCACAAGGATCCCTTGTAATACTCTGTAATAGCCGTAGCACCTCCCTGCCCCTCATCTTCCCTAACCCCTGGAAACCACTAATCTGTCCCTGTCTCTATCTATAATGCTGTTATTTCAAACATGTAATATAAATAGAATCATACAGTATATAGACTTTTGGGATTGGCTTTATTTGTTTCACTCAGACTAATTCCCTGGAAATCCATTCGAGTTGTTGCATGAATCAATTATTCATTCTTTCTTATTGCCATGTAGCATTCCATGGCATGGCGATATCACGGTTACTTGAATTGCTCACCTGTTGAAAGACATCTGGACTGATTCCAGTTTTGGGTGATTGCAAATAGGGCTATCATGAACATTCACGTGCAGGCCTTTGCGCATGTATACAGCTTCAGCCTGCCTGCTCTCGGCAGTTACCCAGTGGCTGTATTGGGGTTCACTTGCTCTCAGATCTGTCAGATGCTGCCCATTGCTTCCTTCTTCTTCCTCCTGCATTGATTCCAGTACCACACAGGTTTTGTGGGTCCGTAGCTCTTGGTGATACCGTTTCATGTACTTATATGTGTTCCCTTAGGCTTTTGTTCTCAAGTTTTTCTGTTTTTCTGTGGGAATTCAGAGAGACTGAAGAACTATGTTCTTTCATTGTTTCCACAGACTCTACTCAGAATCTACACCTTCATCTTCACAGAATCCACACCTCAGCCATGTGGTTTTTAAAAACTTTATATTTGATTCTAGATTGCTACAATTTGTGTCATGAGTAGAGTCTAAACACATCGTTCAGTGTGTTGCAAGAGATTTTATTTTTATTTATTTTATTTCTTATTTTTATTTTTGAGACAGTTTCACTCTTATTGCCCAGGCTGGAGTACAATGGCACCATCTTGGCTCATTGCAACCTCCATCTCCCAGGTTCAAGAGATTCTCCTGCCTCTGCCTCCCAAGTAGCTGGGATTACAGGTGTGAACCATCATGCCTGGCTAATTCTGTATTTTCGGTAGAGACAGCGTTTCTCCATGTTGCTCAAGCTGGTCTTGAATTCCTCACCTCAGGTGATCTGCCTCAGCCTCACAAAGTGCTGGGATTACAGGCATGAGCCATCACGCCCAGCTGCAGTAGATTTTATTAATGAATTCATTCTTTAGTCCAGTCTTCAGGTTTGGCAGTCAAGCCTACATTTGTATATCAGCTCTCCCTGATTAACTATCACTTTGAGCAACTTAATTAGCCTCCTTGTACTTCAGTTTCTTCATACGTTAAAAGGGGATAATGACAGAAACATCTTCATTAGCTTCTTGTGATAATTAAATGAGGTAATACATGTATGACTCTTAGAATGCTTCCTGGCACATAGTAATTGCTCAGGTAAATTTTAGCTATTACTGTTAAGTTGGCTTTGCATACCTGCATTCTAATTCAGTAGTTATGAATATTTATCTTAACTTTACAGTCTTATTTAACTTTAACAGTCATTTCTTTCATTGATCAGTTTTGGGGAGGAATATTTCACTCTAGCAATCAAGAACCAATAAATATTAATAGTTTTCCTTTAAAAGTCATGGTAAAGCAAATTTACGGAAGTTCATATTTTACCTTATACTGTTATCTATGCTTTGAATATGATTTTTGATGTATAATCAATCTGTTTCCGGAAAGGACAACTATTCTTCTATGCAGTGTCTTCTATAGCGAGTCCTCATTCAGCCGGGTTAATGATGGCCTAATGGATGTAGTTCATGTGCTGTCTCCTTGGCTGCAGTAGGAGAACTGACTCTGCTCCTGTGTTGTAGCACTCTTCCCAGCCTGGATGCCCCTTATCCCATGCTGATACTAGCTGGTCCTGCAGCTTGTGGGAAACGAGAACTTGCCCATCGCCTCTGCAGACAGTTTAGCACTTACTTCAGATACGGGTAAGTTTGTTTATTGGCTTGCTAAGACTTGGAAATTTATCTGAATTATTGGAAGTATCAACAGTTCATTTCTAGTAAAATCTCTGATATTGCTAATGTTGGCTATTAATTTTAAGGAAGTTCAGAATGTACAAAACAACTTAATATTTAAGTTACACTTTATAGCAAAACCAAAAGTGGTAAGTAAATTGAATGGTCAATAGATATTAACTCTTGGTAAAGACAGAGCACCAAGCGAGTATTAATCCTTGACAGTAAATTATTGATAAAATTGGATCAATGTGATTACCTGGTTCTGGAATGATAGAATCTTGATTCTTGTGCCATTCTAATCGATATGGTAAAGATGATTGCTAAAGTATACTTCTAGCAATAGAAGAACTTACCATATAGCAGGAAGAAACAAAATAATTTTTCTTTTTTTTTTTTGAGACGGAGTTTGGCTCTGTCACCCAAGCTGGAGTGCAGTGGTGCGATCTCCACTCACTGCAAGCTCCGCCTCCTGGATTCACGCCATTCTCCTGCCTCAGCCTCCCAAGTAGCTGGGACTACAGGCGCCTGCCACCTCACCCAGCTAATTTTTTGTACTTTTAGTAGAGACAGGGTTTCACTGTGTTAGCCAGGATGGTCTCGATCTCCTGACCTCGTGATCCGCCCACCTTGGCCTCCCAAGTGCTGGGATTACAGGTGTGAACCACCATGCCTGGCCAAAACAAAATAATTTTTCTTTTGTGAAGCAGACAGTAAACATACAGCAATGACTCCCCTGTTCCCCACAAAAATAAGCAAGCAAACCAGCATGGTTCATTCATGCTGTTCCCTACCTTTTCCATAAAAGGCTTATCAGCTTCTTTGTCATTTATTATACTGTAATATACACTGTATTTTTTTTTTAACTTTAATTTTCCAAATGCTTAACTTAATTCAGTCTCAGCCCAAATCACCCTCCAGGGTTTGAAAATAAACATCTTTTTAATTAAGCATAATGGCATTTGAAGGCAGGCTTCTCCTGTTGCCTTGCGGTATGACAGCATGAATCACCGTGTTGTGATGTGTGATGGGCAGATCTGTGTTCAGGGACAGACTGTCCTGTCTGAGCTTGGAACATGTGCCAACGGCACTTCAGCTTCTTTGTCTCTGACAGGTCTTCCTCTTTTTTTTTTTTTTTTGAGACGGAGTCTCGCTCTGTCGCCCAGACTGGAGTGCAGTGACCAGATCTCAGCTCACTGCAAGCTCCGCCTCCCGGGTTCACGCCATTCTCCTGCCTCAGCCTCCCGAGTAGCTGGGACTGCAGGCGCCCGCCACCTCGCCCGGCTAGTGTTTTGCATTTTTTAGTAGAGACGCGGTTTCACTGTGTTAGCCAGGATGGTCTCGATCTCCTGACCTCGTGATCCACCCGTCTCGGCCTCCCAAAGTGCTGGGATTACAGGCTTGAGCCACCGCGCCCAGCCGGTCTTCCTCTTTTGAGTTGTTTATCAGGAGGAAGGAAGAAGGGGCAGCAAGTTTTTCTTTTTCTTTCCTTCAGGTTAGCATTCAATACACTTCAAGTTTTCTGGAGCAAATATTTTGCTTAGTGATGTCTTAATGACCCAGTTAAAAGAGAGGAACATATCCAAAAAACTAGAACCATCAGAAAACACACACACACACACACACACACACAAAACTCCAACTGAGTTTAAAAAGTTTTTTAGAGCCTGAGGATAGTGGCTTATGCCTTTAATCCCAGTTCTTTGGGAGGCTGAGGGGGGCAGATCACTTGAAGCCAGGAGTTCGAGAGCAGCCCAGCCAACATGGCAAAATTCCGTCTCTACTAAAAGTATAAAAATTAGCTGGGTGTGTTGGCACACACCTGTAATCCCAGCTGCTTGGGAGGCTGAGACATGAGAATCCAAGATTGTGCCACTGCACTTCAGCCTGGGCAACAGAGCGAGACTCTAGCTCAAAAAAAAAAAAAGATTTTTTTCAGAGGTTTTGGTGACTCAAATTTAGAATTGTCTGTCACCTCTTAAACTGGTTTCCTCTTGTATTTTTTATGTATGGCAAATAAATTACTTTTAGATTAGTGGTTCCTGTCAGTGAACTGAGGATGTGACTACGAAGATATATAGGACAGCCAGAAAAATAAGCGCAAATTATTTCCTAATGCTATTACAAAAAAAAAACTTCCTTCCCTGAAGCTACACATGTTCAAACAATGTAAACACTATTTCAAACAGGTCCATTTATTTAGATATTTAAAATTACATCCTTTATTTGAACAACTCTAGGCCACACACACTATGGAATAATTTATTGATTAATATATTTTAAATACCCTGAAGTAACAAAAATAAAAGTTAATGTTAGAATAAAAATACACAGTACATTATGTTTCTGTGGATGTACTGAACCTGCTTTAAAAGATAAGCTGAACACAATGAATGGAAGGTCAAACTAGGGCAAAAGGGTATATGCTATTTTCTAATGCATAAATTTGGAACTTTTTAGCAAACCAAAGTGACCGATGAGGAATCAAGGTTTTCTCCAGTTCCTTTCACATCTCTGATACCAGTTATGTAGCAAATGATTGGTAGCCCAGTCCTGTTTATTTCTTTGTGATATGCTACTGCCAAGACATGCTTTGTTGGATATGTTTTTAGAGGTGTTTATTGACTCATCATCAAGATTTGGAGCCAATTTGCCCTTACATTCTTATCTGGCGAGGCCTCCCAATTACTCATTTTCATTAAATCTTTTATTTCCCTAAGTAGAATGCTTATCCATCATGCTTGTGATGAGTTGATTTAATGTCTGCTTTCCTTACTTGTATGTAGCCCATTGAGGGTAGGGCTCATGTCAGCTTTGTTCACCATTGAGTTCTCAATGCCCAGCATATGGCCAGACACTTAATATGTGTGTAATAAATATTTGTTAAATAACTGACTGACTGATTGAGTAAATGGTTGGCTGAATTAATGGCATTGTGTGCAACAGATCATAGAAATGACTACAATAAGAAGCATGGGTGATTTTCCCCAGCCTCCACTGATGGAGCTATGCAGAGATGAATGGATTCATCCACTTGTTCATTCTTTCAATGAATACTTATTGATTTCATCTCTTGTGCTAGTCCCTGAGGGTACAGCAGGAATAAGATTGGTGAGGTCGTTGCCTTAATGAAATCTGTAATCTAATGGGGGACTCAGACCTTAGGTAATTAGTGCTATATGAAATTTAGGTGGAGGTACAAGATGGCCAAACAGAATCCTAAAATTAGCTTCATGCTCCAGTACTGTTACTGCTGCCACTGCTATTTTTCTCTTCTGGCTGGAATTAGCGGTGAGTAGAAAGATACTCCTAACTGCCCCCCTCCCGACTACAAACTCATTCATCTACCTCCCTCAGAGGTTCAGAAGCACCATCCAACCATTCACTGTCATCTTCATGAAGGCAGAGGTCAAGGTTTGTTCAATGGCAAATTATTCTAAGAATTTCATCAAGGCATGGATAAAAGACTATGCATCAGATGAAAAAGGGTGTTAGGTAGTTACTTGATCCATTGAGAAAGTAAGATAGTGCTACCATTATATGCAGCAACTTTCTAGTTAGAATTTAAAAATAAAACCAAAGCACCTTCTCACATTCTCAAGGGCAAGTCATTGCTCTTGTTTAGATTTTCCTTTCTATTATTCTTTATCCAACATAAGTTTTACTGATTTTTAATTATGTAAAAAGAAAAAAGGCATGAATAGAGTCTCATGGTGAAACATAAAAGCATTTACAAAGGCACTTTCTCCACCATTTGCTTGAATCATTTCTTTCCCTCTTCCTCGTTTAATTTTTTCCTGGTATTTTACTTCCTTTCTAAATTGTATTGACCCAATATCGAGATATTCAATGAAATTTTCGCGCACTAAGTTGCATATCCAGTTATATAAATGTTGAAAACGTAACTCAGTCACATAACAAATATTGGTGTGGCTGAGAGATTTTGCTGTGGTTAGGTTTTGATTTTACTATTTGTTCTTGGTTTTAGAAATATGTTGAATGTTCTTTCTTTACCAGTATTAGTTATGGGTGACCTGGAGATATGCATTTACTTTCTTCAAAGTCTCTCTATTGATTTCTAGCTGAGCACCCACAAATCAGTGACTTCCTGGAAAAGTGCCGGATAATGAGGGCAACACAAAACAATATCAGCATGCCTGTCTATCTTCTAGATTTAAGGCCATGAAAGTGATCTGAATGGCCCTGAAAGAAAAACTTTATTCTTTTTTAGATCATTATTTTATAGCCATCTCTATTTTCATAGGCTTCTTATGATGTTGACTACTAAATATATTTTATTTTTAGCATTGTAATACAGTAAAATAAAAGACCACAGCTATTTAGCTACATGAGATGATATGAGCTGCAGCAATCTAAATGCAGTCTCAGCTAATGTGTCTGTTTATACACATGTGACAAATTTGTAGAATGGTTCATTTATTCATTCAATATTTATCGAGCACTGTGCAAATGCTATGCTATATGTGGGTGATGAAACTGTGAAATGAACAGGTATGGGTCTTCTCCTCCTGGCAGCTTACAAAGTAGTATGGGATTTAAACAGGTCAATGCTCACAAGATAGTTTGATGGGTGCTATGATGAGGGAGGTAAAGAGCCTCTGAGATAGAAATAAAAGAGAAGTGGGAAGTGGGGCTTGAGGTGGGGGTGTATTCTAGGCAGAGAGTACAGCATATGCCTCAGCTTAGACTATCAAGGGAGATGGCAAAAGTTAAGACTGGAAGGACAGACAGGGGTCTGGTCATAAAGGATTTCTAAACAGGGAGGGGAATGATGTGATCACATTTGCATTTTAAAAACTGTATCCTGGTGGCAGTTTGGGAAAGGGCTTAGGGAAGGAAGTCTGGAGACAAGAACACCAGGTAGAGTATAGTGACAGGTGATGGTAGCGTGAGTCAGAAAATGGTGTGTAGTTACTGAAAAGTGGAGCAGAGTAGTGGCTTCATGGAGTTTGATACTTAGATACAGTATGTGCTGGAATCTTTTGTGTGGAGGATCACTTAAATTGTGTCCAGCAAGCTATTGACATATATCTGCATTGGGTGTTCAGACCAATTTCATTTACCTCCCACATTCCTCTAGTAATACCTGGGCTTTTGTGGCTACCCATTGATAGAGCTCACTTACTAATAATATGATGTGCTGTAATGTGCTTGAATTCAGATGTGCTCAGAGCCAAGCCTCTGCCTAAATATTTGCAGTAACAAGTTCATTATTTCCTGAGGCAATCTGGTTCAGAATTAAGATTCTAAATCTGCATGCTTCTGAATGACACTGAAAAAAATTCTACTTCCTCATCCACCTGCTAGCTCTTCTTAGATATCTTTTCTTCCTGTTACATTTCCCTGGATATTTTGGGATTCCATTATTTGGCCTGGCCTTCCAATTCCTTTTCCTCTTGGTCATCTCCTTTCTGTGAATTCGGTTTGGTAGTAGCTTCAGTGACACCTGGCCATGAATTGGCACCCTTAGACTTTTAGGACCAGAGTTGGAGTCTGGGGTTCATCTCTAACTCAGTCCTTTTCTGTGTTGAGTGAAATTACTGGAATTATGGCTCCTATTACAAACCATAATTTAACTAGTAAATTAATTAGTAAATAATGAACCTGCAGAAAGATTTAGACAAGGGAAAAGACGAATTTTGAAAGTCCTGGCTCGAGCAAATTTCTTTGTCTAGAATTTGGTATCATTTTTCCTATGTAAGTTGAGTGAAATGTTGCCTTCACTGTGAAGCATTTTCTTTTTGAGATGTTCATATTTGGGCGGCATATAACACAGTGAACATTTGTATATGTGGAAATTGGATGACAAATTCAAAAACACAGATCATCTTAGGTTCTTCTTAATAGAAAGTCTGCAGTGGCTGCAGGCTCTGTCATCAGCATTCTGCACACCAGTGGAGCCATCTCTTTATTTACCTGCCTAGAAGCTTCAAATTGCTTCTTTGTTTTGTCTTTCTTTGAGAAATTCAGAAGAAATTCTTGCCACTCAATTCCTTTGTTGAGAACTGTAAGTCCAGCATAATGTGTACAGGCTATGCTAAGGGTTTGCTGCAAGGGTGCCAAGCTATTGATTTATCTTCCCTGACTGTCAAGGACGCCAATAGACAGAGGGTGTCAGGTCTCTGCTAAGGCGTGTGAAGAAATGCCAATGTAGTCAAACAACAAAACAAATGCCACGGTGTTTTGACAGCCTTCTCTTAGAATGTGCTCTCTTTCCTAAGTATATAATTTAAATATGATGTTAAGACCTTAAAATGTATTAGTACAGTTAATTCTTGAGTAGAATGGAAAGGGAGCAGTGGTATGAATTATAAACATTTATTTGCCTTTGACTTTGCAATGAAAAGTCTTTTGAGGTTGCAACTTGACTGTCTGAATTAGTATGATATTAACAAGAATTGACTTTTGAGTCATCTGGGCATTGCTGCTTAGTAATATTCCTTAATAGCTGTGCCTCAGTTTCATTATCTATAAAATAAAAATAAGAGATAATACTTAGCTCATGGTTTTTGTAAGAAATAAATGAAATAACATGTCAAGTGTCTAGCTAGTCTCATCTCTTATTTTATTATTTATTTATTGAAACAGGGTCTTGCTCTGTTGCCTCAGATGGAATGCAATGGGGCAATGATGGCTCGCTGCAGCCTCAAACTCCTGGGCTCAAGTGAGCCTCACATCTCAACCTCCTGAGTAGCTGAGACCACAGGCACGTGCCCCCACACCTGGCTAATTTTTAAATTTTTTTGTAGAGACAGAATCTCACTATGTTGCCCAGGCTGGTCTTGAACTCCTGGGCTCAAGCAATCCTCCTGCCTTGGTCTCCCAAAGTACAGGGATTGCAGGAATAAGCTACTGTGCCTGGCTCTCATCTCCGATTTTAAAACTACAGGAAAATCTAAAAATCAGTTTGCATTTCCTGCACTTAACAGTGGAAGGCAGAATTATATGAATTCAAGAGTCCTGGTGGTTGGGACCACCATATTCTTGTTGTAGGACCAACACTGGCCTGCTGTGTGACCTTAGAGGAGTCATTTTTGTAGTCATCTATAAAAGGGAGTTCTTAGTAGCTGTTATCCACTTCTCATGTTTCATTTTTCATTCACTTTACAAAATGTTATCAAATGCCAACTGTGTGCCAGGCTTTGGGAATGCAGTGGTGAATAAGACATGGTCCTCCCCTTATGATTCATATGTTCTGCTAGGAGAGATGGGGAAAAAAACAGATCAATATATAAAAGAAAGCAGTTCTGGTGATAGACAGTAGTTGAGCGGTGTGGTGGGATGGGGAGGTTATTTCAGACAGTGGAGAGAAAAGGCCTCTTTGGTTGAGTTGAGACTTCCGTTCAGCATTGGCACCATGGATTGCCACAGGAGGGTTATACACAGTGTTGATATGGACCAAGCACAGGGCACATGAGACAGATTTGCCCTCAAGTGGTGGAGGGGATGGGCCCTGAACATATAATTGAAATGCAATTGGCACAGACACTGAGGCTGTGGAAATATAAAGCGATGAATAATCCAGCCATAGAGGTCAGGAAAGGATTTTTGGAGGGGTGACATTTAAACTGAGTCCTAAGAAACGAGTAGGCCAGCCAGGTGGAAGGAGAGACGGACAGCCTGTGGAAAAGGCTCATACATTAAACATGAAAGCAGGTGGGTGGAAAATGGTTAAATGATAAGTATTGATTTACTTCTTAAAGTATTATTACATGATGGCAGAGGAAGAGGTTCAGAAGGTGATAAGTAATAATGAGTAAAAATTTGGTATGGATGATCCAAATTTTAATAATCCTTACAGATGATAGCAACTGAATATAATCTAGCACTTTGAAACCAACATATTCTCACAACTGTATTACTTTATGATTTATGATTTGTGGATTAACTTCATTTTTTAAAACATACTTTATACTGAAACCTTTTCCATTTTGAATTTCCAGTTAGAAATAGACTAGGATGATCTGTTTTATGATTTCAGGGCCTGTCATACCACAAGACCACCTTACTTTGGAGAAGGGGATCGAGTTGATTATCATTTTATCTCTCAAGAAGTTTTCGATGCAATGGTAAACACGGTAAGAATGTTGCCTTTGTTTTTATTGCACAAGAAATGCACGTTCTCTGGCAAAAATGTTAGGAAATAGTTATAAATTTAAAAAAAGGAAGAATTACATTTTGTGCTTGTTATGAGAGGTGAGTTCATATTGGTTTTTTTTTTTCTTAAAGTGCTTAATACATCATTCTTCACATGCTTTTTTATTTTATGGTCTCGGAGAAAATATTGTAAATTTCCAATAAAAATGAATGAGTAGGCATTTTAAGGAAATAGAACTAAAGCAATATGAAAAATTCTTGTGATCTGTGTTTATCAGTTGCTGCTACTGTTATTAGTCAGATTTACTCAAGAAAAACAGTTCTTACAGAACCGATGGTGCACAAAGCTTGTAAATTAAGTATGTCTGGAGATTTGGCTACTCTGTCCAGAGAGTACTCTTTCTGTGTATTATCTGTGGTGCTTTCTGATTGTTACAGCCCTAAGCACCATTTCAATATGGTGTGTCCCATTTAGTTGGCTTTTTCTGGACATGTTACCTTCCATGGTCATGTTCCTGTTTGAGAAGTTCTCAGTCCTGGAGGCCAAGCAGTTCACTAATGCAGATGGAAGCCCTTGCTAGAAGATGGGAGATGATCCCTAACTTCTTTGAGGACTGTTTTAACAAGGTCAAGGTAATTACCATGCGTTAGTCCATTTCACAGGCACTCAGAGCAATCTTGTTTAAGTTTTGGGTTTTTTCATTTGTTTGTTTTTTACTGAAACCCTGACAATCTAGTTATTGATAGTAACTCAAAACACTCTTGTCTTTGAATTCATTTTCTTCAAAACAACTTATTTGTTCCTTCTTGGCCTTCACATACAAAGTGAACCCTCATAATCCTAGCATGTTTTATCTGTTGAAAAGTTTATGCTAATGTAAATATGTATCTGCCCATGACTTCAGTTAAACTGAAAGAGGAGTTCATATTGTCATCACGACCAATGTATCTGTAAACCCTTTGTTTTTACTTCACTATGGCCCTTATTTTTGTTTATATCTTCATTGTTTCTATCACCAAGTAAATCCTACACCACTTCCTTTTCTTTTCTGAAGCCCACTGAACTATCAGATGAGGGACTCATCTGTGTTTCTGCTTTTGAAAGATTACCACCCAACTGGTGATTCCCTTATAGCTATATATCCTCTTCATTCTTTCTTCTTCTTTTTCCTTCTTCCTTCCTCTGTTACACCCCCAAAATAATGGACCTGGCTTATTCTTCATTGTACAAAATCATGAACCATTTCAGCATAGGCTTTGCAGTTTCTATGAGTTTAATTTTGAATGGCCAACTCTATACATGGTGCATGTTTTCTGGACTTCTCTTGTGTTTGTGGAGACATACAAATGAGAAAAACGTATGATCCCTGTTTTCCTCTAACCTTGTCAAAAGAACATCTTGGAAATTCTTTATAATTTTCTCTCCTAGGGCTATATTTTGGCAGTTCAGTTTAATTGATTAAGAATACTCTGAGATTTTGTTTCTAAAAGCCTCAATAGAGATTTGAGAAGTTATCTTGATATTAGTAAGAAGCATTCTCTTAGGACTCTTTAGGTTGAAAGACAACTAGTTCCCAAAATTAATGTTAATTTCTCTTGTTGGAGTATGAGGCATTTTTTTCTCATGTCAGTTCATCTGTTCTCAGAACCCCATCTGCTCTCTGGTGTTTCATACCTTATCAGATCTGTAATCTAGTCTGGTTCAATTCCTAGTCTAAAAAGTCACTACACTTCTGTACTATATTTAGTCTTAGAATTGTACTACCTCTACAAAAATCCTCCTGTGTTTGAGAAGTACTTATTTTTACAGATTCTGATAATATATACATATACTTCAGGATAACATAATTTTCTTGAACTTGAATTGTGCCTCTGATCTCTTTTCCTTTAATGTAAGCTTGAAACTGTTTCATGAAGAGAAACAAACTTAGAGATGACAAACTCATGACACATTGTCAGCTTTGCCAATCGCCCACAGACACTCAGTCCTCTGTACACAGAACCCCCCTCTACACAGTAGCCACCCAGACAGCCTGCCCACCATCCTCCATTACAGCAGGCCCACTGACAGACAGCCTTGGCACACCCTTACTGTGGACAGTCACACCTTCCTGCTCTGACAGGTACAACACATAGACCTGCACACCCTCCCCAACACAGGTGCCTCCTCCATCCCGTCAGATACTTCCCCCATAACACACAATCACCCCCCTAACATGCCCGCAGATATGAGAATCCTTTTTATGGACACATACATAGTCCCCACAGAAACTCTCCCTCTCCTGCAGAAATCAAACCACAGACCCTGAGGTTTCTGGAGTAAGACTATTGCTATTTATTAGGAAATCCACATGCAGCAAGAAACCAAAGTAGCATCACCAGCCAGAATGGGGTAGAGGGAAACCACTTAAGCCCAATTCTTAACAAACTTGTAATGGAGTCTTTTTAATACCTATGTACTATGCAAGATTCCTCCCAACTCTACGTCTCTACATCTTTCTAGAAAATGGGTTGGTTGGTTGTTTTTTTTTGATCCACAGTGGAAGGTCCTTGTACATGTGAATAAACAAACTTACAGTATATATCTGAAAAGGAATTCAAGTATACATTTTGAAAACAGGGTGAGTCATAGAGTGTTAGTCAGGGTTCTCCAGAGAAATAGAATAGGATGTGTATATGTATAGAAAGAGATTTAGGGTTGGGCTTACACCTGTAATCCCAGCACTTTGGGAGGCTGAGGCGGGAGGACTGCTTGAACCTAGGAGTTTGAGACCAGCCTGGGCAACATAATGAGACCCTATCTCCTCAAAAAATAAAAAATTAGCCTGGTGTAGGGTTTCATGCCTATAGTTTCAGCAACTCAGGAGGGCTGAGGCAGGAGGATTGCTTGAGCCCAGGAGGTCAAGGCTGCATTAAGTTATGATTGCCCCACTGCACCCCAGCCTGTGTAACACAGCAAGATGCCATCTCTTAAAGAGATTTAGTATAAGGAATTGGCACACATGGATTATGGGGACTGGCAAATCCAAATCTGCAGTGTGAGCCAGGCAGCCAGGAAATCCCAATGGGTTCACCTTGCCCACTGCCTAGACAGAGCCGATTTATCAAGACAACGGAATTGCAGTAGAGAAAGAATAATTCACACGGGGCCAGCTGTGCAGGAGACCACAGTTTTATCATTACTCAAATCAATCGCCCTGAGCATTTGGGTTTTTAAGGACAGCTTAGTGGGTCGGGGGAAGCCAGCAAGCCGGGAGTGCTGATTGGTCAGAGATGAAATCATAGGGAGTCAAGCTGTTTTCTTGTACTGAGTCAGTTCCTGGATAGGGGCCACAGGATCAGATGAACCAGTTTATCAATCTGGGTGGTGCCAGCTGATCCATCAAGTGCAGGCTCTGCAAAATATCTCAAGCACTAATCTCAGGAACAGTTTAGGGAGGGTCAGAATCTTATAGCCTCCAGCTGCATGACCCCTAAACCATAATTTCTAATCTTGTGGCTAATTTTTTAGTCCTACAAAGGCAGTCTAGTCCCCAGGCAAGAAGAAAGTTTGTTTTGGGAAAAGGCTGTTATCATTTTGTTTTAAAGTGTAAAGTAAGTTCCTCCCAAAGTTAGTTCAGCCTATGCCCAAGACTGAACAAGGACAGTTTGGAGGTTAGAAGCAAGATGGAGTCAGTTAGGTTAAATCTCTTTCATTGTCTCAGTCATAATTTTGCAATGGAGGTTTCAGTGGTGCAGATGAAATCCAAAGGCTGATCTTTTTGTTCTACTGAGGTCTTCAACTGATTGGATAAAGTCTACCTATATTATGGGTGGCAGTCTGCTTCCTTGAAGTTCCCCAATTTAAATGTTCATCTCACCCCAAACATCTTCCAAGTTGACATGTAACACTAACCAGCAGATGCAATGAACAAGATAAAGTGTCTCTCTGAAAGGAGAGCCAGACATATATCTATACAGGTTTTATATATATACATATATATATAGAAAAGGAGTCACAGTATTTGTTCCAAATAACAAAGAAAGTATGACTTTGAAGGAATAAAATAGTAAGGATATTTATTGTTGAGTTTTTAACTTTTGGAATACATAACATAAACTTCTTTTGATTATGGGGGATGTAGATTTTCCTCATCACCCGCAGCAGACACATTGCCCAGAGACCCATCCCCCAACCTCAAAAGACACCCTATGCCTTCTGGTCTCTCACCTCTCTTCCCTGACAGACAGCCCATCCGTGTACCCTCACATTTCCAGAATATCTGGGGCCAGGACGCAGGGCAGCAATAGACCCAGCTGCTACTGTTCTTAATGCTGTCACCGCCATTTGATGGGATTCAGTGCAGCCCTGGAAGTTTTCACTTCATTGTTTATTTCAAAATCACGTATATGAGAAGTCACACTTGCCGAGATCATCCACATTTTTATTCCTTCTGTTGTCATCAATTACGCAGTTTAGATTTGACCTAGTGGTTTAATGAATATAGTATTGCCAAAGAAAAAGTCACAGACAATTTTGAGAGACGTGTTTTTACTTGCCTTTTTTTTCCCCAAGGGAATACAGTTTTTGGAAGAACTGAGCTTCCAGAATACAGACAGAGGCATCATTTATAGTTCAAATGGCTATAGGGCAGACACCAATTCTGTTGGATAACATTTGGGGCAGTTTCAGTAGAAAGCTATCTTTATGAGGAAAAACAGGATGGGTCTGCTTTTTCAAAGCTTTTAGGATGTCCCTGTAATTCATGGCCTTCCGGAATTATCTATAATTCATGGCTTATCTTGCAATGCAAGGCTTTTGGAAATGGAGGCCTTTTCTGGGTTGCCTGGTGTGCTGGCACAGCTGAAATGGCGGCGGTAAAGGGCAGGCCATTAGTTTTGTTCTCTCAGTAATGAAGGTTTTGGTGCGAGTTTGGCAGGAAGTGGGTAAGTAAACAAAATAGTCTATTTTACCATATGCTGCAGTGCCTTAACACTCCTCAACATTTTGTCAGCAGATTATTTCTAAAAACCTATTTTTTTTTGTCAGCTGAGAATTCTGAATAAATTTCTCTGTCACAGTTTGAAATTAAGTTTCATGTACCCCATTGTCATCCGTATGCAGTTGCTAAAATTTGTAAGGTTTTTGAAATTATTTAGAATAAGACATCAAATGATTTTAGTTGTGATCAAATTCCATGATGGCTGCTGTTATATGAAAATCTTTGTTCTTCTCGAATTCCAGGGGAAATTCATTGTAACATTTAGTTATGGTAATCACAAGTATGGATTAAATAGGGACACCATAGAAGCTATCGCAAGAGATGGTTTGGCAAGCTGTGTTCATATGGAAATAGAAGTAAGTGTTTTTCATTCCACCAATTAATGTGTGTGTAGTTTGTGTGAGTGTGGTGTGTGTGTGTGTGTGTGTGTGTATATATATATAAATTTTTTATTGATACATAATTGAGGTACATGTTTGGGGTACATGCGATAATGTATATACATATTTGAGGTTGGGGAGGGGGTTACAATGCACAGGCGACACATTGCCAGGCACAAGATAAGATATTCCATTTATAATTAGTATGGGGGGCAAGACACGTGAAACATTAAGTGACAGGAGTTAGGTTACAATACAAGAAATTGCACAGATATTGTGAGTGTAACTGCCACTCGAGCTTTATTTTCTGTTATTTCCTCACTAAAGTCTCCTTTTTCTTTTTAGAGCATGGCCTCTGTTTATATAAAAGGCTGTAGATAAAGCCTGATTCGTAGAGTGTGGAACTGGTTCCCCATGGCCTAGGACCATGACAGCCCCATGCGGTCAACTTTGTTCCTTCGTTCTGCATGAGATGTGTGGGCTGTGCTGCCATTTAACTGCAGTTGCTTACTGGGTGTAATATTTTCATACTTCTGGCAATGTAGACCTGTAGATGTCAGAGATTTTTCTCTCTACCCCGATACCCTGTCTTCCCCCAACAATGATCTATAATTAGAGTATATAGAAGCTTCTCCAAAATTAAGATCCAGAGTAAAACTATGAATATCCCACTCATTTATTTTTTAAAAATATAGCTTTATTGCATACTTGGAACCTTCAAAGATAGTTGATTGTTTTTTCAAGATCCTTTAACTGAGCAGTATGACACTTTTGGAATTAAAAAGAAAGCAATTATAAAACTAATTCAATTAGACCAAACGTACAGAAAACAAAACCTAGGCAAATTGGGTGCATAATCCTTTGATGTCAACTCTGAATCCTTCTTTTTTCCTCCTGACTTCACACAGTAGGAGACTGCAATTCCCTTTTGACTCTGTGTTGGTATAAGTGTTTCCTAGCTTACATATTTCTTCCAGCTCTTTAACTTTCCTGACTTAGACTATTTCAAATCTTATTTCTCTGTGATTAATTGGTTTGGTATTTTAAAGGAGAGTTTTCTTTGTTTCTATAATAACTAGCAAAAATAAAAGGTCTTTTCTAAAAAATTTATTCATTTGACAAGGCAGAAACAAAAATTAATGCATTTGTGAGTCCAGAAACTCTCCATCCTTTCTATCTATCTTTCTCTGGTCCAACAGTTATCTGAGGAGTGGCTCCTGTTTCACTCTTTTTCTCCCTGGGAGTTCACTCCTACCCATTTCCAGGAGGTTGAGTCTATAATCCATGCTTTATTCCCCTGATTCTCCCCAGCTGAAGTATTTTTCCAGACTGGCCTGGTCATTGACTCAGAAATTGTTTTGGAAATAGCCTGTATTTCTTCCAACTGAATTTTTAAAACAAAGATTTTGAACATTGAGTGAAACTGACTGAGATGGAAGGGACTTTAGAGTCCATTTGGAATGGCTCTTTCATTTCACCCACGAGGATACTGATAGCCAGAGAACTTGAAGGATTTATGCAGAGTCTACGGGAGCCGGAGAGCTGCAGTTGTGACCAAGCCCTCCAGACTCACAGACCAGTCAGTTCCTTACACAGTTCCACGCTGTGATCTCCTGGTCTGCAGGCTACCAGGAGCTTGGCCTTCCCAACCAGGGTGCCGATTTAGCTGCAGAAAGGGTCCCAAGATGATGACAAAGGGGTCACAGAAGAGCCTTTTCTCCCTGGTAAGATCTCTGTCTCCTGGTGCTCCACAGAAGCTTTTTGAAATATAGAATCAAAATTACCTTTCTGTAATAAAGTTGCAATATTGCTATGAATGTACCTATTTTATATCCAGCAATTTTCTAACAGTCATATTCATTAGAATGATTAATTAAAGGAAAGCCAGGTGGAGTGAATTCTAATATTTCCAATGACAATTTAAAACTTGATGAAGAGAGAAATGTAATCCAATCTTGAGATATTTATAGAAAAACAGCAGCTAACTCTACAGGTGAAATACATTCTTCGATATATTAATAATACTACTTCTTATGCCCATGTTGTCAGATGGCTCCAAAATGATTTGTAAATCATGGATGTGTCTCCAATTTATTATCTTCCTTTTAATGCACAGGGTGTAAGAAGTTTAAAATATTCCTATTTTGAGCCTCGTTATATCCTGGTGGTACCCATGAACAAGGAAAAATATGAGGGATATTTGCGGAGAAAAGGATTATTCAGTCGTGCAGAAATTGAATTTGCTGTCTCCAGAGTGGACCTTTATATTAAAATTAATCATAATTTTCCAGGATATTTTGATGCAGTAATCAATGCAGGTTGGTAATTTTCAGCAAAGTTTTATTTTTGAAATTTCAGTAAGATTACTGAATTAAAAGTTTGTTTCATGGGGATAAAATTCTTGGATAAAAGCTATTTTCCTTGTACCAGTGAATCACAAAGAACGCAAAAAGGGTAAGAATCCAAGAGGTCTAATTTTCTACTGTTTTAATGAGAGCATTGTCTCAATTATTTTTTAAGATTGTAGCTAATAACATTTGGTGTAAAATGAGCCTGAACTGAGTTCATTTTTTAGGGGACATTGTGAGAACAAAGTTAAATTATATGTAATTTGAAATACACATTTAAATTTCTAGAAAGGCACATGAAACTCAGGTAATTTTATTATAATCTACACATAGGTTAAAAACCCAACTACTCAAAATATAACCATAAAAATGTATGTGTAAAACAAATATTTTCAGAAACTAGTTTATAAATCACCATTTAATTTAAAGCGATAGTTCATGGGAGAATTTTTTGAAATGTGAAAATTTCTATATATATGTATATATATTTTTACACATACAAAATTTCTATAGATATATTCTAGAAATTTATACATACACACACACACACACACACACACACACATATATATTTTTTTTTTTTTGGAGAGAGAGTCTCGCTCTGTCACCCAGGCTGGAGTGCAATGGCGTGATCTTGGTTCACTGCAACCTCTTTCTCCAACTCCCAGGTTCAAGCAATACATCTGCCTCAACCTCCCGAATAGCTGGGATTACAGGTGCCTGCCACCAAGCCCAGCTAATTTTTGTATTTTTAGTAGAGATGGGGTTTTGCCATGTTGTCCAGGCTGGTCTCAAACCCCTGACCTCAAGCAGTCTGCCCTCCTCAGCCTCCCAAAGTGCTGGGATTACAGGCATGAGCCACCATGCCTAGCAAATTTCTATATATTTTTAAACTGCACTATATTACACAGTCATAAAAAGGAAAGAGAAAGTTCTCTGTGTCCAGATAAGGAAATATCTTCAAGTCATACAGTTACTAAAAAAGACAGGTTTTTAATATAGTATGCCATCATTTATGTAAAAAAATTGTGTAATTATATTTTCTTGTACTACATAAAAAAATTCTCTGGCAGAATCTACCTCTTAGGGGAAAGGGAAACTAGATGAACTAGATGGACAGGGGACATTAGTTGAACCATATGAAATTGTTGATATTCAACTATTTTGACCTATGAAAACAGCAATTTCATATGGTTCAACTTATTAATAATAGTTTTTGGTCTCTGAAACATGTTAATGTATTACACAGTTGAATTTGTTTTCTATTCCTGCATAGAAATTATCACACTTAGTGTCTTAAAGTGTCAACACCCATTTATTAATTCACAGTTTTGTAGATAAGAAGTCTGGTACAGCATAGCTGGATTCTCTGCTCAGGGTATCAGGAGGCTGAGGTCTCATCTGAAGGCTCTGGGGATAAGCCTCCAAAGCTCATTCTTGTTGGCAGGATGGAGTTTCTTTTGGTTGTAGAACTGAGGTCCCAGTTCTACTGGGCTGTCTGCCAAGAATTATCCTCGGTTTCTGGAGGTTGCTCTCAGGTCTCATCCACGTGGCCCCACCATCTTCAAGCCAGCACTAGCACATCGAATCCTCCTTGGGATCTGAGTTTCTGACTTCTTTTTCTGCCAACAGCTGGAGAGAACTCTCCTTTTATGCGGCTCATGTGATTAGGGTGGGCCTGCCTGGATAACCTCCCTTTTGATTAACCCAAAGTCAACCCATTAACAACCTTAACCACATCTGCAAAAATCCCTTTTGCTGAATGTCACACAATCGTGGAGGTGGTATCTCATTGCCTCCACAGGTTCTGCCCACACTTAAGGGGAGGAGATTGATTATACAAGGGTGATGTGTCCTTAGGATCATCTTAGAATTCTACCATAATATATATAAAATTCTACCATAATATATAAAATTAAATGCAGTAAACAAATCATTACCACCAACAGTTAAACATCAACTGTTTTGGATCTGATCCTGTTGTTTTAAAATGTACTCTCTTTGCTGCAGATGATTTGGATGTTGCCTACCAAAACCTGAGTCAGCTCATTAGAGAATACCTCGGATTGACTAAGGAACCTGCCAAGAGTTTGGCTACAACTGCAGGTACAATCCTATCCTTTTTGTGCCAGGATTTTTTTTTTTTTTTTTCTTCCATGGAAAGGAAAACAAATCTGAGTTCCTATTTGGGTACGCATCACTTGGGCTAAAGCTGGTTCTCTTTTATTCCTGTACTTCTTCTCGGCAACTGTCCCCAAAACAAGCAGCATGAGTCAGCCTTCTGGATCTGTAACTCTGCTTAACTCCATGGTCATGATGGCCCTCCGGGGACTGCCCTTCAGGAACAGGCTGGGCAGTGCCTTGATGGAGGTAATAGATAAGGGTTAACCTCATGGCTCAGAACTCAGCCTTCCAGAAGTTTCATTCCTTAGAGAGCTGAGATGTTGTTCTACTTGTCGGGTTTGTATTTAGTCTGAGAGTTTTCTTTTCCCTTTTCTTTGTGTTACCCCAGTCCTCAAAATACTGTGCTGTGGAATATAGTGGCAAAAGCACTAGTCATAGGATCGGTGCTCCTGTCCTAGCCCTGTGCTCTCTTGGGTCAGCTTCTTCGCTGTTCAGAGTTTCAGTTTACTTTTCTGCTACATAGACCTAATGCTCCTTATCTACCACATGGATGGTGAGCAGCACATGATGTAGTATACGTAAGAGTGCACCCCCTTGGAATCCAGGAATTCTAAAGCCCTAAGTTAGAATTTTGGTACATGAATTTTGAGATGTATTTAAAAGACTCCCTTGAATCTACCTCACAACTATTAGGATGGCTACTATAAAAACAAAATAAAAAAACAGAAATTAACAGGTGTTGGCAAGGATATGGAGAAACTGGAACCCTCGTGTGCTGTTGGCAGGAAGGTAAAATGGTGTTGCTCCTGTGGAAAACGGTATGGAGTTTCCTCAAAAAATTAACAATAGAACTGTCCTATCATCCAACAATCCCACTTCCAATCTACCTCCAAAAGAATCGAAGGCAGGGTCTCAAAAAGAGAGCTGCACACCCATGTTTTTAGCAGCACTATTCACAATAGCCAAAAGGTGGAAGGAACCCATAAAATAGAATTTTATTTGACCTTAAAAAAGGAAGGAAATTCTGGCACATGCTACACATAGATGAACCTTGAAGATATTGTGCCAAATGAAATGAGCCAGTCACAAAAGGACAACTATTTTATGATTCCACTTACATGAGGTATCTAGAATAGTCAAGTTCATAGAGCCAGAAAGAAGAACGGTAGTTGCCAGAAGCTAGGAGTGGTTTAATGGGTACAGTTTCAGTCTGGGAAGATGAGAAGAGTTCTGAGGATGGATGATAGTGATGGTGGCACTGTGTGAATACGCTTCATGCCACTGAACTGTGCACTTAAAAATGGTTAAGATGGCCGTGCGTGGTGGCTCATGCCTCTAATCCCAGCACTTTAGGAGGCTGAGGTGGGTGGATCATGAGGTCAGGAGATAGAGACCATCCTGGCCAACATGGTGAAACCCTGTCTTTACTAAAAATACAAAAATTAGCCAGGCATGTTGGCACATGCCTGTAATCCCAGCTACTCAGGAGGCTGAGGCAGGAGAATTGCCTGAATCAGAGAGTAGTAGGTTGCAGTGAGCCAAGATTGCGCTACTGCACTCCAGCCTAGCGTCAGAGCGAGACTCCATCTCAAAAACAAAAACAAGCAAAAAAAAAAAAAAAAAAAAAGGTTAAGATAGTCAATGTTGTATTATGTATATTTTGCCACCATAGTAAATTTTAAAACTTTCCCTTGATGGACTGAACCCCATTCACGCACTGCATATTGTGAAATGTTAACATGAGACCCTGGCTGTTTTGCAAGTATGTTCAGCTTTGTGTTTTAGCAGTTGTGACTTTTTGCCCAAATAGGATTTGTTTACCAGGTTGCATCCTGACAGACTGAGGCAGGGCAGGTCATGATCTTGCCAGACTTCAAATCAATGCTGTTTTGTAATTTTGCACACTTCTCCCAGGTTGAGGGCCCCTGGTGTTTTGGAATGGGGTCAATGTGAAACTGGTAAAAATCAACAGATAATGGCTGAGAATTTCGTTCTCCATATGTCTTATAGGAGATGAAGTGACCAGGGTATGACCTGCTGACTAGAATGTTCCTGGAGAAAGTTTGACCTGTCTGAAAATAGACAGGAATGGAGGACTGGAGGACTATGCTCAGTCTACGAAGGGGGGATTGGGGGACATTAGATTAGGAGAGTGTCAGTGTATTTATCCAGCCCTGCTCGGAATCTCTGCACTGGGTGTCGGTTCTTTAGAAAGCCATCTCTATGGAGAAGGGCTGTGTAGTGTACCTAATGAGGCTTCTGTAGCTCAGTAGAAGTTTCTCTTGAGGAAATCTGGCTCCCCTTGCCTTAATTCTTTGCTAATCAAGCAACCTTCTGATCTTTAATTTGGTCCCATCAGGTGGACCTGCTCCTGTGGGGGCTGTACCCCACGTTACTCACCCTGCCCTGATCCCTGAGCCAGGCTTGTCTCCATTGTAAATTAATTAATTGGTGTACTGGCTTTTAAATCAGCCTCTTGTGAGTTTGGATAAACATGAATCAGTCCCCCCTGAGCCTGACCAGCTCTGAGTCACTGAGAACAGTGTGTTTCTCAATCTGAGGTTGCCACTAACTAGTGGGGCTTGAACAAGACTTTGCCTCAACAGCCAGTGAGAGTCCATCTCTGTATCTTTTCTTATTCTACAACTATCAGGAACACTGGCTATTGGGTGCAGTTGCCATTTGGTAAATTAATAGACCAGATAATGTGTGCATAGAAAAATAGACTTTGATTTTAACGGGTATAATGAAATTTTATTTATTTGGACTAATGAGGTCAGGCTTGGCTGATTTAATGAAAAGTGTGAATTACTGCTTTTGTAAAAATGTGATAGCTCTCAGTTACATTTCATAACTGAAACTGAGCCATCTAGTTATTGACTAATAGAATTCCATCTTTAAAAGGTAGGTAGGCAGATTTGTAATTAATGTATCAAATCACTAGCCTCAAGGCCCCCTTTTTTTTTGGCATGTTTAGTATTTTGAAAAACAATGTGTTTTCTGAAGCCAACCACTTTATCTTATCTAGACAATTAATTTGCTGAGGAAGTTACTTTTTCCACTTGTGGGTTTAAGGATAAGCTTGCACATAAAGTAACATTGTAGAGGCCAGACATTATTCAAGTGAGTATCTAAAAAGTTCTAATGGCCATGGTCCTTATTAATACACATTTAATGATGTCTCCAGTGGGACAAGAAGGAGAGCCGATGTTCTTCCTGAGTCTCAGGGCTGTGAACAAGGTGGCAAGGAGTTGGGGCCAGATGTTTACAGGTTCAGTGCACGAGAGTGGAGACAACCATAATTACCTTAAAACGAGTGTCAGCGTGTCTGGAATTGGTTCCTGCAGGTGGGTTTGCGGTCTCGCTGACTTCAAGAGTAGAGCTGTGGACCTTAATGGTGAGTGTTACAGCCCTTAAAGATGGTACGGACCCAAAGAGTGAGGGGTAGCAAGGTTTATTGTGAAGAGCGAAAGGACAAAGTGTCCACGGCATGGAAGTGGACCCCAGTGGGTTGCTGCTGCTGGTGGGGGTGGACAGCTTTTATTCCCTTATTTGTCCCCTCCCATGTTCCCTTTCTATCCTATCAGAGTGCCCTTTTTCAAATCGTCCCTGTGATTGGCTACTTTTAGAATCCTGCCAATTGGTGCGTTTTACAGAGCACTTATTGGTGCATTTTGCAAACCTCTTGTAAGACAGGAAAGTTCCTGATTGGTGCATTTTACAATCCTCTTGTAAGACAGGAAAGTTCTCCCAGTCCCCACTTGACCCAGGAAGTCCAGCTGGCCTCACCTCTCATCAGTACTCCCCAGGAAGGGACCCAGAGCCCCAGCAGAGTCACAGTCATGTGCTCAGCTGGTGCTTCACCTCATTGCTCCTGCTCTGAGCTGGGTCACTCTGATTTTAAGTTCTATAATTTAGATATATGTGTATAAACACATTACTCATATAAATGGGACCTCTAGAAATAAACAATAGTTTTAGTATAATGAATTTTTTAAAAAATAATTGAGCTGTCAAAAGGAAGAAATTGAAATAAAAAATATTTACGATTCTGTGAAAGACAGCTTTGTCTGAGCAATTAGAAAACTGGACTAGAAATATGAAGCCTTGGTTTTCTATTCTAAATCTAACCAATAACCATTAACTTGATTGGAGAAATAATTTTGAGCTCCAATTTCTTAAAATAAAAACCTATATATAATGTCATGGTGCACTATTAGAATCTGGCTGTCCAGAGCTGAGGTTTTTCCCAATTGGATTAGGCGTCAGTACAAACAGAAATCTTATGACCAACACCATTGTTTTTCTTAAAGTGGTAATCCTGTATCAATGCAAACTGAAAATTATTCCCAGATATCTGAAGTAGTAATATATAGCTTTATCTTTTGTAATTTTACATTGCTAATTTGTAACTAAGAATACAAGCTGAATTTCTACTCTTAACAATGAGAGTGGAACAGAGTGATAAACGAAATGCAAGGTTTATCAGTTCTGAGTACAGCATCTTTCAGCCTGGACCCAGAAATATAAACTTTCACCAATGGATGGATTAATTGAATTTTCACTTAATGCATGTATAAAATAGTAACTTTAGGTACACAGTGATCATAAACCCTTGAAATCTTCAGATATCCCCTTAATTTAAAATATATATTGACCTGGCCCGATGGCTCACGCCTGTAATCCCAGCACTTTGGGAGGCAGAGGCGGGCAGATCACGAGGTCAGGAGGTTGAGACCATCCTGGCCAACAAGGAGAAACCTAGTGTCTACTAAAAATACAAAAATTAGCTGGGCGTGGTGGTGTGTGCCTGTAATCCCAGCTACTAGGGAGGCTGAGGCAGGAGAATTGCTTGAACCAGGGAGTCAGAAGTTGCAATGAGCTGATATTGCAGCACTGCACTTCAGCCTGGCGACAGAGTGAGACTCCATCTCAAAAAAAAAAAAAAATATATATATATATATATATACACACACACACACACACACATATATACACACATCTTATTTTCCCTATTGTAATGTGAATAACATTTATTTCTAATACCCAAAAACTTAAAAAGTGCAAATAAACAAAATAGTTTATATAAAATAAGGAAAAAACTATATTCACAACTCAGTATTAAGGGATGTCTTTCCTTCCATTTGTCTCTAAACAACCTACTTCTGGGATAGTTAGTGCTTCCAGTAAAGCTTTTAGAAAGTTGGACCAACTATCACCCTGAGTTCTTGCTATATAGATCATAAAATAAAATTATATTTGTAAATCATTATTCTGACTGATGGTAGAAAGAAATGATGATGGTTATGATGAGTCAAACAGAGGAGAACTGAGCAGTTGACTAGTCCATAAAGTTTCCCTTTATCCAAGGCCTGGTATGATTTGCCAAGTTATGTCAATTGTTAAATTGTAAAAGTGGGGAACACATCCTTGTATGTCTGATTACAGTAAACCAAGAGAGATTAAGGAACAAAAGAAGCTTTAGCACAGGATTTCACTGTTCTGATATTTTTCCACCTTTTTAAATTAATTTTATATTTTGGTTAAAAAGCATACCATAACATAAAATTTTATGTTTTAAAATTTAACCATTTAAGTGTACAATTCAGTGGTACTAATTACATTCTCAGTGTTGTATAACCATCACCAATACCTGTTTCCAAAATTTGTCATTACCCCAAACAGAAACTCTATACCCGTTAAACTGTTACTCCCCTCAACTCCTGGTAACCTCGAATCTACTTTCTTTTCTCTATGAGTTTGCCTATTCTTGATATTTTCACAGTTTAATTTTTCAATTTAACCCTGTTTCTTGTCTAAGCTAGTATTTTAGTTTATAGCTGTTATAAACTAGGGAGTTCCAAATGATGAACAGGACATCCCCTCAGAAACCACACCGAGGAAAGCCTTTCTTTGCTCCCACTTGTGCCACCCTCTCCCTAGAGAACACCAGTCTGATGGGATGCAAAGGGTGCGCGTCCAGACTAGGGGCTCAGTGAGAACCCAGCAGTGCAAGCTCATCCTGCGTCAGTGGAGGGGATCGGGGGCTGGGAGCCTGGTTTACCTCTGGGGAATGGATCACTCCGGGGTTACCTCAGAGGTCTGATTTGGGTTGGAGTCTCTGAGTATCAGATCTCCCCCAAAGTGAGCTGAAACTAGCTTCTTCAAGGCTGTTCTAGACTGGTGTACCACCTCTGACCGCTCCACATTTCAGAGCTATGTCCTTAGGACTGGGGTAAGACGGTATTTGGGCCCCCAGAATCCATCTAGTGAACAAGTGTCCACTGAACGAGTGCCTGCTGGATGATGGCATCTGTGAGACTGTCCCAGAGATCAGTCATTCTGAGAACTTGGTGTCATGGTGAATGGAGGAGGACCCCCTCTCTGCAACACCAGCATTGCTAGTGGCCTCTGAGAGCCATTTTTGAAGGCAAGGTAGATGTGGAAGTCCAAGGGGAGGCCTGGGGATGTGAGTAGGGGTATAGCAACCTGGATGGGGGTCCTCAGGAACAGCTGCTCTGAGCCATGGTGCCTTGTGATTCTGTCAGGCTGATTCTTTCCTTCCTTCTTGCATTCATCACCCATTTCCTCAGTTCCTGCCCCTTTGCCAGGTATTGGTGAACAGACATAACGCTTCACAGAGCTCACGGCTTATATAAGGGGGCTGCCGTTAAACAAGGAAACAAACCCATGAGACTTCATCCGGCTTGGATGTGCATCCTCTAGTTTCTACCATCAAAAGCAGCACTGATACTCTAAGTTGGTATAAATTTAAAATCTCATTCACTTGGAAAATGTCTCACCACCCACAAACCTGGATGTAAATTTTGGTTCTATGAATGAGAACCAGACATAAACCTCTTATGTTTATTCATTGAAGTTAATGTTTTCAGTTGACTAAAATTGTTCTAAGTTCCACAAAATAAGAGAATTATAGACACTTAGTATCTTCAAGGAGAAGGGAAAGTTAAGTTCTCCTATATGTGTAATTTTATTCCTTTCAAGGGCCTATGTGCATCTAACAGGGGAAAAGATGTTTTTCTTATTAATTTCTAAGCAGTTAGTTAACTTCTGTTTATAGCCAACTTCTTTTTATATTAAAGCAGGGGCTCCCTCTAGCAAGAAGACTCTCTCTGGGGTACCAGCACACCTGGTTCCATCTCCCAGGCGCTTGGCAAAACTGCAAGCAGATGGCCAGATGACAGAGCATCTCTCTGGAATGCAAATTCATGCCAAGAACCTAGAAAATCAGAGCCTAACTCCTGCCCAGAACCAACCGCTGGCTCAGGATGGAGAAACCCATCAAAAAGAGCTTTCTCCTAACAGCCATCTCAATCCTGAGCTCCCTCAACACCTCAGTTCATTGGCACTGGGTCTTCCTCAGCAGGCCCAGGACCTATCCCTAAACTCGCCGGAAGAGGATGTCCAACAATCAGATCTTCCTCTAAAACAAATAGCCACTGAGACAGATGTCCCTGAGGTGAAAGCCAGTGAGGTGGGGCAGTCTCCCATCACCCCTACCCTGGCGCCTCCTGCACACCCTTCCCCTCCCCTGTCCGGCGGCCCTCAGCCAGGCCAGGATGAGGAGTCAGGGGAGGCCCAGGTAACCCCCAGTGGCCCTCCTCTGTCTGAACCTCCACAGGCACCTGGCCCCACTCCCCTCAGCCCTCAGAGAATTCGGGATGAGGAAATTGAGTCAGACGAACATCTACCCAGCAGTTCCCACCATGATCCTCCAAAAGATTCTTCCCACCCTGAGGTGGTGCAGAAACTTGCTGGAGATTCTCAGCAAGCTCTGAAGGAGGAAACCTCCAAACTGGAAGCCATCGGGGTCACTACCCCTCCCCTAGAACTACCATATCCCCAAGACTTAGCAACAGATACTAAGCAGCCCCAGGCCAGGGAAGCCCCGGCGACCTTGCTTTCTAGAATCCGGCTGGCTCCCACTCGGCTGCCCCAGCCTCAGGTGCTGGCTCCCCTCCAGAGCAGGAGGCCCACACCCAAACTCCTATCGCCCAGCAGGGAAGAGGCTTTAGGAACAACCTCCGATCAAACCATGACTCCCTCTCCCAGGCCTCCAACAACCCGGGAAGCAGACACCAGTAAACTTCCTCCCATCAGCGCTCCGCACTCAAAACCACCACCAAATCTGAGCCCCCAGGCAGCCCACAGTCCTCAGCAAGTCCAGGAAGAGAAGGTCAGTGCGGTGAAACTCCCTCTTATCCGTCCCCCCAGCCAGGAGCAAGCAGCACCGCGCATCCTCAGTCCCGCCCTGGAGGAGGCGGCTCAGAAAGTGAGGCTCCCTCGCATTCCTGCTCCTCTCCCGGAGCCAGGGCTGCCCCAGAACTCGGGGGCTCAGCCTGATCCAAGGCCTGCAAAGGAAAGGAAAGCTCCCCAAGCAGGCGGCTCCTCCAGGAGGAGGATTCCAGACATGCAGGCCTCACCCCACAACCAGGGGCCACTTCAGCAGACAGGGGCTAGGAAAAAAAAACTCCCCATCCAGAAAAGGACGGCTGGAGGACTGGCACCTCTGGAAGAGGCACCGCCTGGGAGCCACCAGCCAGCCTCGGAGCTAGAACCCCTCCGTCAGCCAGCTCCCGCCATGGTGCCCGACCATCCCAACCCCAGCCCTTCTCTTGTTTCTTGTCTAAGCTAGTATTTCAGTATATAACTATTACAAACTCGGGAGATCCAAGCAACCAGAGAAGCAACTTCCATACACCTGAAATTCCTGAGCCCCCCCCCCCCATGCCCAGCCATCACCTAGAGACCCCCAATTACAAGAAGGTAAAAAAACAACATAATTCCAGAAAAAGAGCCCATACCGACCTCCCCACAAATGACCTGCCTCGGAATGTAGATGTGTCCAAACCAGGGCCATCTTTGAAGAGAGAGATTTTTGGAGAATTATCTCAAGAAAATAAAACTCCCGTCAACGGCGATCGGCCAGCTCAGAAAGGCCAGCCCTCACCCGGGAGACCCCTCCAGAGGGAAGAGGCCCCCGCGGAGTCGCTACAGGATAGCTCAGCTCCTGTGGAGCATCCAGGGAGAAAGGGACAGGTTCATCGAAAGGGCAGGTCTCAGAGGAGAGACATTGCCTCGCAACCCCCAGAGGAGGACAGTGAGCCCCCAACCCAGCAGCCTGTCAAAGACACACCAGCCCATCAGGGAGAGGTCAGGCCAGAGAGAGCTCTGTCCAAAGGCACAATGCACTTGATTCCAAGCAGCAAACCAAAAAGAAGCAAACCTGAAAACATGGGGCAGTGCCACAGGACAAAAGCCCCATCCCTCCCCAGAACCAGGTGTCTGCTGTGGAGCAGGGTAGCTGGAAGGGAAGACTGAACTCCAGGGGCAGTCATCGCACCAAGGTTTAAGCCATCCCTGGAGCCACCAGCTCATTAAGGTCTGGGAACCCCAAGGCAGTACTGTCAGAGAATGACCAGCTATGGCTGGGTGCTGTGAGTCTCCACACTGGCTTCCTCCTGAACCCATGGTCAGCATAGGTGGAGGGGCTGCTCAGTGCTGTCCAAACCTTGGATTCCTAGAAGGCAGCCAATCTGCACTCTTGGGCCTCTTCTGCTGTTGCTGTCACGCCTGGAAGAGCAGCTGTCCCAGAGGGATGCGGCTTGATCAGCTGCTGCCACCAAATTCAGCTGTTCTGGAAGGCTGGTGCCAGCAAGTAGCCTTTGTGTCCAGACACGAATCCAACCTGAGTTCCAACTCTGACTGAAGCAGGGCCATATTGCCATTAAGTTTTGTTCTCTTTATAAGGAAAATTCACTTCTAGACTTCTAGAACATCCTCTTATCCCTCTTGCATTATTGAGGAGTTTCAAAGCAAAAGGAACTCTTGAGGCAGGAAGCCTTTGCTGTTCCTGGAGATTCCAAACCTACAGTTAACTTGCGGGAATCTTCTGTAGGGAAGAGGGCATATTTTGCATACATGACGCTGTGATCAAATGCTTCAGATTTGTCTTGGCAATATGTTGCCTGAAACTTATTTTGCTTGAAATGTATTTCAAAATGAATACCTTCCTTCTATCTCTGAATAGAAATCTCATGTAAATTAGCCCATGCCTTTATTATGCCAAACCATCTGGTTAAATCAATTAAAAGAATTAATGGGGAGAACATTTAAATGAATCAGTTGCTCATTTATTCATACCATTAGGATTCTTTCGCTGGCAAATGATAGAAGTGCATTCTAAGCCAGCTTGTGTGACTCTTATTAGAAGGGAGTAGAAGATTTCTATGACCAAACTATGGGAAGGGCAGGGCTACAGCAGGTCTCAGAGAGACTGGGGGCCAGTTGTGGAACATAACCAGGACTCTAGTCATCTCCTGGACTCTGGTCTAGGACTCTCACCACTTCTCATCTCTGTTTCTTTCTCCATGTTGGCTTCATTCTTTGGACTACAAATGACTCTTTCAGTTTCTGCACATGTCGGGGAACAAGGCCACCAGCAGCTCTCAAGCCCACATCTGATTTTACCTCTGGAAGCTCCCACTACTGTAAAGGGATTAATTTGAATGAATGTTCATTAACCCTAATCCAGAGAAAATCTTGTTGGCCTAGCTTGGTTTAGGCACTCGTTCTCAAACCAATCTACTCTGGCAGGGACCAGGGTTACCTTTAGACATACCTATTGAACCAACTCCTATGTATGGACACTCTACTCCACCCAAAAAGAAGATAATTGTGACCAAAACAGACAACCCAAGATGTGACTCTTAAAAAGCTACAGGATATCTATTGACCACTTACTGTGTACACAGCAGCATGCTAAACTGTGTTTGGTATCTCATATTTAAAAATGTAACTGATGATTAAATGCCTTTGTAAATGTATGTTATCTTACACAAAAGAGAGGTATCTGAGAAACTGTGAATTTCAAATGTTATTTCAAGGGCAGTAAAAGAAATTGATATTTTAGAAATCCAGGATATGGAAATCCTCTGGCAAAATGAAAAGCATATATAATGCCAGTAATTACCCTCTGATTTATCTGATTTGTCCATGATAAAAATAATACAGTAACTGTAGAAAACATATCATTTATTTCATTTATTTATTTTTACTAAAAGTGTGTTCATTTTTACTAAAAGTTCATTCATCCAACAAGCATTTATTGAGCACACCCTATGTGCCAGACAGTGATGGTTGCTAGATAAGGTGAGGTGATGAGGATACTTCAAGAAGCTTTGTCTTTTATCAAGGGAGATAGATAAGAGGGTTCATTATATTAATAACGCCATGTGATTAGGGCAACTGAAGGCCCCACAGTGTGCTAGGCTATATTTTGCATCCTACAGACAGGAAAATCCATTTGTTAACTTTTCCAGACTGTCATAGGAATACCAAGGAAGGACACTGAATTTGGCCTGGGATACAAATATGGGATCAGGAAACACTTCGAAGAGAAGGTCAGCCTTTGGCTTAGTCTTTGCGGTTGCAGAATTAGTCAGCAGACTGATGGGGAGAGGAAGTTTTCTTAGCAGAAGGAACCACGTATGCCTAAGCAGAGGCACGCACAGGCATAGCATCTTCTAAGGACCCGAATGCCAGGAGAGGTGTAGGTCTATATAGATCCAAAGTCCCTTTTGTGCTACGCCAAAGAGCTTGGAAACTTGATCTTTAACAATGGGAGCCACTGAATTTGTATCTGAGAGGCATCTGTCTGGAGGGAGTATAGAGGATGAATTTGAGGAGAGCAATACAGGAAGCAGGAGGAGTGGCAGGGAGGTTACTGCTGTAGTCCAGAAAAGAAGTTAGGCCTGAAACAAGGCTGTGGGGCAGGAATTGTCAAATTAGGTAAATATTTAGCTTGGATGTCGGGGAGGGCAGATTGTACAAGAGAGGAAGAAAATTAAGATAATTACTCATTTTCTATGAGGTGGGTGTGCGGCACTTCAGAGTTGTCCATGTCTCATTTAGGTGAAGAATTTCCAAATTTAAAATTACTTTTAGAAATGTATAATTTTCCTCTTTGGGCGCCTGTTTCTGAGGCTCCCGAAGGCATTTGTGGTTGCATTTCCATTAGGGTACAAAAGGGAAGTGATAAGCCAAATTTTTGTTATCACTTCTTTGTGTTTCTGTTATTGTTTTGGTAGTATACATTCCTAATGTCTTAGACTCAGTGGAACTGGACAACATTTTGTTTGTGATCGGAGGAAAGGAGTGGAAAAGAGTATCAACAAGAGGTCTTTAGTGCTATTATTGATTTTCTTGGTATAAGGGAAACCTCTGATTTTTACACATAGAATAACAATGTTTAAAATTTGCCATTTTCCATCTATATTTGCCAAGTTCCTATCATTCCCATTTGATATGTTGCTCAGCAAGGTGATCTTTATAGGCGCAAAAAAACATTGTGGCTTATAGTTACTACGTTAGTAATACCATCTTTAACTCCTTTAAAGAAGACCGGCACCTAATATTCAAATCAGTGGAGATAATAGTGCCTCTTGGCATGAAAGCCTTCCTCAAATATTTAAAGAGCTAAATCAGTTATTTCCAAAACCTCAAAAGATAATTGAACAAAGGGCATGATTGGGAAATTCACAGAAGAGGAAATAAAAATGTCCAATAGATATGTCAAAACGTATTTAATCTCATTATAAGTTAAAACAGGATAGACTTTTTTTTTTGTACTGAATTGGCAGATGAAAAACAACTTAATGTCTACTGTTGGCGAGGCTGTGGGTAAAGGCACTTTCTATGTCTCAGGAGAAAAAGTCAATTGGCACAATTTTTCTGGGACACGTTTTACAATTTTCTGTCAAAGCCTTAATATTTTGTATATCTTCAGTCTAGTAATGCGAATCTGACGATTATTGTAAGGAAATCGCTTATGTGCAAGGGTGTTCATATTAGTGTTTTTTTATGATAAAATCTAGAAATAATCTAGCTATCTAATGGGATTTTAGAAATAAGTTATGGTATAACTATATGCTGGAATGTTATGCTGTCATTATAATCATGTAGTAGAAGAATATTTAATTGGAGGAAACTATTTATTGCATAGTAAGTAGAAAGCAGGTTATGGAGGTAGAGCCAGGATGGCTCTAGTTATTAGCTCTGGATTATGGATTCTGCATAATTTTTATTTTCCCATCTATGCTTCTTAGTATTTTTTTAGAATTTTTTTACCATGACCTATGTTTATTCAGAAAAAGTTATATAGAATTAAATTTAAACACACACACAGACACACACACACACACACACACACTTTGAAGAGCTGTCATGCGAAAGCAATAGCCTTACATTCTGTTTTGATTTGACATCATGAACTTTCTAAGAGTTAGAGGTGATTTGCAGAGGAACAGACTGACTTGCTCCGGAAGTTAGATGCTCTGTTACGGGAATCTTACAGAAAGTCTTCATATGTTGGGTGATTAGTTGGACTGGCTAAAATGTAAGGTTCATTTTATGATCTAAGATCCACTTACTGCAACTGACTCCATTTGTTTGTTATGAGGAATCCTGTTTTATTAAATGTAGTGCTTAGTACTAGAAAATTACATGTGCTTAGTACTCCTTAGATACGTGGCTTTCAAAGTTTTATTGACCAAGATCCATAATTAGAAGTATACATGTTACAATATCGTGACCCAGTAAACACATACATACCTGGCAAAAAAAAAAAAAAATGTGTCATAAAACACCCTTACTATGGTGATAGATGACTGATATTTTCTATGGTGCTGAATTTCAATTTTTAATATTCTGGTCGTGGCCTCCTAAATTGATTTCACAATTTTGTTTGCAGCCTGCAGTTTGGAAAACACTGCACTGAGTGCCCTAGAGCTTTGCTTTGATGTTGTCCTTACTTGGAGGCCTGTTACCAGACTGCCCCCCTGCTCTGGTTGCCTTCAAGTGAGGTTGGATGGGTTGACATCATTTATACTGAATTCTGCTCTGGGACAAAGATCTGGTGTATTGGCAGTTATGTTCTTTTTCAGTGTTGGGGCTCAGGATAAGATACATCCAAAATTCATATGCATACATTTTATATAGAGCTTTTTTTAAAAAAAAAAAAAAGCACTTCAGAACAATCTTGATCAGCTTACTTCCTTGCCTTTTGCTCCATGACAAGTCTGAAAATCATCTTATTACCATAAAAGATCCACCAATTTCCACTTCAGATAATTGCACTATTTATATAGTATGTAGCACAGTGTGTCTGTAAATGAATTTAATTGCGTAGTCCAATTTGAAAGACATAATTCTAGAAATCACTTTTCTGTATTGACCAGGCATTCAGAGAAGAGAATAAGAACGGCCTAACCATTTCTGTGTTGATGACAGATAAATGGTGTTACAAGATCAAACCTCTAATCTTAAAACTGATTATGAGAGTGCAGTCATGATTTGCAAAAGCTGAAGACCTTTTATTACAGATTGTAACCTTAGAAATTCATGATTGCAGATAACACTAAAATTCAAAATAATCCTTGAAAATTCCAGTTGCATTACAAGCTAGCCATGTGACCTTGGGCAAGTTTCAGAATTCTCATGTATAAAATGGAGGTAATAATAGTACCTACCTCAGTGTTTTTAGGGGGATTAAATGAGTTAGTATACTGGAAACCACCCAGAACAATATCTAGCTCACAGTAAGTGCTTCTATGAGTAGCGTGTGTTCATATTAATATGAAAGCAGCAAAAATGTTTGCATTTCCTGTTCATTGAAAGATGACGACACTGTTCAAGCTGGGTGGAAATATTTGGTAAATGAGATGGTCTTTGTGGAAATACTTTTTTAAAAATGTGACAACCTTGATTTAATTTAGGAACGTAAGATTAGAGTAATATTGGAAAGAAATTGTAGTTGAGCAAAATATTACGAAGACCAAGAGGTTTGTCAATGGGTATTCATAGGGAGCATTGCAGTTTGGAGAAGTGAGTAGGGAAACATCAGTTCTGAGATTATTATGAATGTCCATGTGATCCACACATGAAAGACCTGTAGTAATACCTGGCACATAGTACATGCTCAATAAATGCTATCTATTATTTTTACTATGATTTCATTATTGATAAAATCAAGATCATTTATATTCTGGGTTTCAGATTTGTTAGATAGTGAATGCTGTCAAGTCACTGGTCCAGATAGTAGATATTTTATTTTCTCTTTGAGACTCAGTTGAGACAAAGACCAGCTTCTACAATTACCAGATCTATACCCCCTCATTGTCCTAGGATAAAAATAGAAAAGCAAAGTGAAGAAAGACAGAGAATGTTTTTGCTGGAGAAAGTGACCAATGAAGTAACATCTTTGAAAAAGATGTTATTCTTGAAGGATAAGCCCTTAGCAATCAAAGATCATGCTTAGGGTGTGGGATTGGGTGGAAATCCCATCAGAAATACAGTTATTTGAACATGTTAGTAGAAGGAAAGGAAGTCTTTAGTGTATATTGAAGCTTCCTGATGATGTATATTCTGTTTTCTGCCAATCATTGCTACCCTTTTCCTCTTTTCTTTCCCAAATTCTTCTATATTAATGCAGATCGTATATAGCAAGTTTTCACTCTTGAAATTTACCTGTTCTATGTGTTTTATCTTCTTTAAAGTGTCAACTAACTACTTCATTATATACTATCCTTTTTTTTTTTTTTTTTTTTTTTTTTGGAATTCTGGGCCTTATTGCTCTATGTTTTAATTGGAACATTCTTGATGCAAGGCCCAAATATTGACCCATTAGTTCACCTCCACTGAAGACATTACAATGTATGAAGTTTACTGGAAAAGAACATTTTTGTACTTTATTTGCTCTTATGAATGTAAATGTGTGTGTTTTCCTTTTTCTTGATATAGAAGTTGTTTTTGTTTAATTATTTCTTTGATTAGACACTCAAGAATATAGCACTTCACTGTTAGCATAGTTTAATAAATGTATTCACTTTACCTTATGTAACATGACTACAACATTAGTACTGTATTTCCTTGGACTTATGTTATTTTTCTACTCTAAAAGTTTATTTTGCTATGGAAAATTATGGATACTATGCAAAATTATTATTTTTCTAGTTGATATTATTCTTTTCTTAGAAGCACAGATAGACAAGACTTTTAAGATGTAATTCTGTCCTAGAAAAATAGCTTCTTTTGCCACCTTTAGTTTTGTGATAGCACTTCCTAATAAACTAAACTTTTGTCTTAATTTTCCACTACAAATTATCTATCATATTAAAAATATTTAAAATTCGATAGCAGATTATTGTGTTTTCTTTTAAGCTCTTTTTTGTGATTACATATTTCAGTATCAAGACTTATAGAGATTTTAACTTTACAGGTATTTACATCATATGTATATATGCATTTAATCATTGTAGGTATGAATTATTCTTGTTAGTTTTCCTTTTTTTTTAAAAAAAAAAAGAAAAACCCTTGCTATATGGTTTTGTTGTTGTTGTTGTTGTTGTTGTTTTTAGGTGGAGTCCAGCCTGGAGGACTCCCAGGCTGGAGTCTGGAGTGCGGTAGCACGATCTCAGCTCACTGCAACCTCCACCTCCCGGGTTCAAGTGATTCTCCTGCCTCAGCCTCCTGAGTACCTGGGATTACAGGCCCATGCCACCATGTTCAGCTAATATTTATAGTTTTAGTAGAGACGGAGTTTCACCATGTTGGCCAGGCTGGTCTCAAACTCCTGACCTCAAGTGATCCGCCTGCCTCAGCCTCCCAAAGTGCTGGGATTACAAAGCCCCATTTGAGTGGGGGAAAAAAAGTAAGTGATTCTGAAGTCGTCTGTGCATCTGAGGACTTTTTTTTTTTTTTTTTTTTTTTTAAATTAAAGCCTGTTTCCAAGTCATCCACTTCTAAGTGCTTTCAAAGAGAGATCAGCTCTAATGTTGATACATTTTTTTTTTTTGCAAGGTTTTATTTAAATGTCAAAAGCTCAAAAGCTCATATTGAAAAGTAATCAGTGATGTTTTTGGACAGGAGAATGACTACATCGCCTTGCTGTATAAGAAATCTTATTAATGCAGAGACACTTGTCATTAAAATAGAGAGTTTGCTTTTCAAAATATTTATAATCTGACCCCCAAATGGTAAGTTCATCACTAATTATTGACCTGGCTACATGCCTGTGATACCAGATCATCAACATCTTCTCTTTTTAACTTTCCTTAATGCAGTAAATGGCCCTATTTAGTCTGTTTGATGATATAATGTTAAATATACGTACAAATCTTTTATTCTTAGGTACATGGCCTCTACTGCTTTTGGTGTTTAGTTTGGATTTTATGCTTATTCTTTTAAAATGTTTTATACAAATATTATTTTAATTTGTTTGACTTCAAAAGAGTATGTCTAACATAAAAGATCTAAGCCATTTAGAATTAATTTGAAATGTGGTTCCAGTTGTTCCAGATACTTCATTTACATTTTCCTGCATTTGTAATGATACTAATCCATAAAATAACTTTAAAAATCTGCCTTGGATCATTAAATTCATTTATGCTTCACTGCAGGTATTTAAAGAAATTTAACTAGCATATATACTGAAGAACTTGGTTCTTTTTGTGGACTGTAAAGTAGTTTATATATATTTAAAATGTTGCCTCAAGGTTGACTTTAATTTAGATAGCTTGAATAAAATCACATTAAGAAAATTTGTCGCATGGTGTTCTAACATTGGTAATTATGGTTTTCTCCTTAAATTGGGAAGTAAGCTCTTTTGTCCATTGATGTATTAAGACATTAGACAATATATTAAGAACTGTATGAAACTCTTTATTATAGGAGTTCAAGTCGTTAAAGTGGTAGTATTACAATGTAGTTTAATAGTAATCTAAACACATTATCTTTACCCAGAATGTTTGGTTGCTGAGAAATCACTAAGACATTAAATTATTGGAATTACAGCTGCATTGTGTCATCAGATGGAACTTGACTTGTTTACACCACAGCACAGACAGCTTATGTCTTAGAAAACTGGAAAAAGGAACCCAGACACAAACACTATATTTTGAATAAACTTATATATTATGTAGGATCTATTCTATGGAAATTATTTCAGTGAATATAGCTTTTATTTCTTTAAATTCTATCTTATTGACATGGTTCCCGTTCATCTAGTCTTTTTCCTAATGCTTTGTACTTAGAGTGACATCAACAGGACAAGGGTTTTTTTCTGAAAGATAAATTAGCACAGGATGCACCTCCTTCTTCTCTCTCTCTCTCTCTCTGTTTCTGCCTCAGCCACACTGAGTTCTTTACTGTGATGCAGTTATATTAAGGATACATCTATGTTCTTATACCGGCCACTTTTTCGATCTGATATAGTTTCCCCCAGATGTTTGAATGCAATTCTTCTTTATGCCTTTTAATATGTGTTCAGATGTCACCACCTTAGGTGGACTTCCTCTGACCACCATGCCATCTCTCATGCTGTCCCCTCATCCGGCTTTCTGTTTCTTCATCACACTTGTCATTACCTGACGTTATTTAATGTGTTATTTGTCTGACTCCAATATTAGCATGTAATCCCCACAGGTCACGACCTTTTATTTACTGCTATATCCCCAGCATCCAGAGCAACAGCCAGCACATAGCAGGTGCACAATAAATGTGGGTCAAGTGACTTTTATCACAGAGATTCAACAGAGAATGCTTCTGCATACAGTCGTTTCATTTTATCGCTTTGTGATTAAACACAGTTTCTTTAATATTCCTTTGTAGATTGTTCTATTACCTGAAATTCTTTGGATATAGTCCTCACCCATTTGTTGCATCTGTTCTAGCTCCCTTTCTCAAGACAGGGCCTAGGTGGAACTTTAGACTTCGTTACCATGACTAAATACTTGTACTTGTCTGCAACAACTTTGACCTTGTGTTACTGGTTTGGGATTGCCACACAATTTGGGTGAAGTTCAAGTTCGGATTCCAAACCAAAATAGAGTCTGATTTCCCACAGGTGTTTCTATCATCTGGTTAAGTAAGAATCTGTCCCCAGACAAAGCCCCTACGTCTGTGGACTGACATTTCCAGATACCCCTTTTCCAACTTGTCACGTTTTCAAACAGTCCAGGTCTCCTCCTCCTCCTTCTTCTCCTTCTTCTCCTCCTCCTTCTCCTTCTCCTTCTTTTCCTCTCCTCCTTCTTTTCCTCCCTTCCCTCCTCCCTTCTTCCTCCTCCCTCCCCTCCTCCCTTCTTCCTCCTCCCTTCTTCCTCCTCCTTCTTCTTCTTTTCTTTTTTTTTTTTTTTTTTTTTTGGTCGTTGTTGTTTTGAGGCAGGGTCTCACTCTGTCACCCAGGCTGGAGTGCAGTGGCAGAATCATGGCTCACTGCAGTCTCTACCTCCTGATCTCAAGTGATCCTCCTACCTTAGCCTCCCAATTAGCTGGGATAACAGGCATACACCACCACATCAGGCTAATTTTTGTATTTTTTGTAGAGAAGAGGTTTCACCATCTTGGCCAGGCTGGTCTCAAACTCCTGGGCTCAAGCGTTCCGCCAATCTCGGCCTCCCAAAGTGCTGGAATTACAGGTGTGAGCCATCGTACCTGGCCAAGTCAGGTCTTGTATGCCAAGCATGCAGGGACTGTGGTTTCCCCTCTCAGAACACGTGTTCAAACCTCAGCCCCTGATGCCCTCTGACCTCTTAGCATCAATTCCCACTCCTCTGACTTCGAGCCTTCACTACACTTGTAGTATCCAGAAAATTTTCTTTCTTGGTTTCTGCCTTACTATGTATTAAAAACAAAACAAGTTTATGTTATACATTAGTGTTTTTCTCATCTTTGGGTGGGGGTAGTTTTCTGCTTCTGCTCAGTCCATCGTATTGACTGAAGGTACATGTGGATATCATTTATTTTAGCACTTTAAAAGCAATACTCCTGAAAGTGTTGATGCTCCCATGTAGCCAAAGCTATCTACTCCTAGCCCCTCTGTGAATGAGCAGTAATACAAATTTATACAGTATTCTTATATTCTAGGTCTCTGAACATTCTAACGTCTTAAAGGAAATATTAGATATTATTTATGAATAAATTCTGTTAAACAGTGGCCTCAGGCTGGGCACAGTGGCTCACACCTATAATCCCAGCACTTTGGGAGGCCGAGGCGGGCGGATCACGAGGTCAGGAGATCGAGACCATGCTGGTTAACATGGTGAAACCCCAGCTCTACAAAAAATACAAAAAATTAGCTGGGCGTGGTGGTGGGTACCTGTAGTCCCAGCTACTTGGGAGGCTGAGGCAGGAGAATGGCGTGAACCCGGGAGGCGGAGCTTGCAGTGAGCTGAGATTGTACCACTGCCCTCCAGCCTGGGTGACAGAGCGAGACTCCTTCTCAAAAAAAAAAAAAAAAAAACAAAAAAAAACAGTGGCCTCATCATTCTATTCCATTTCAAAGCCTCTTAACATTGCATAGTTTATTTTCCTTTTAGCCTTTTGGACTTTCATCAAATGAAAAATCATTATAAGGGTAATTTTTCAATTAAATATCTAGAAGCCACTGTTTTTGACATGCTTTACTTCTTTTGATTCTATTTATAAGCCTGAATTGATTAAGTATTGGGTATATTCAGAGGATATATCTATTAGGTGTTACAGACTGACTTTATTATTATGAGTTATTATTATTTTATTGTAAGATATATTTTTATTTTATTTTAAAGTTGAAATGCACAGACTTTAAGTATCTAGCTTGTTATGTTTGGGCAAATAAAAATATAAAACATTTCTATCCCTTCAGAAATTTCCTTTATATTATGCCTTTTATTTTAAACTCTATTTTTTTCTCCTACCAGATGGTAAGACATCCCACCTGAAATCTGAAGTGCATCCTACAAAGTATAGTTCTTCGAATATTGGTGATTTCCTGCATTCTACAGACAGAAACTACCTTGTTAAATTATGGGCCAAACTTTCAGCCAAAAAAACACCAGCGGTAAGGGAGGGATAGAAGGGGGAAAGCAACAACTGGGCTCTACACAATGTCAGACAAAGAGAGGATTTAATATTTTGAGACCAATAGATTTCCCCAAAATTATTCTCTCGCTAGTGTCAGCTGAAGACAGGATATTGCCTCTTTGTACATCCCTGAGAATAGACACTGGTTCTAAAAGTAGAATATTCAGTATCAGATTGTGTGAGTACCTTTCTCCCAGGCTCCCAGGGAAAATTCTGACATTCAAATCTTCCATTTAGTAAGAACAGAAAAGCATTACAAGAAAATTAATGCAGTGAAAGATGTATTTCAAGGGAAAACTTGTTGCTAGGGTATAAATTTGAGTATTCTTGGGCTGAGCCTGAAAAGTGAGTCTACTCAAAGATTCCGTGTTTTATAACTTAGCACTTCTTAAACCCATCACATCACTTAGTCCCAACTTAATTCTTTGAAAGTTTTGAGAAAGCAGCATGCACAGGAGTATTGAATGCAAAATTG